GAGGCAGGAGACTCGCTTGAGCCCAGGAGTTGGAGGTTGCTGTGAGCTGTGATGCCACGGCACTCTACTCAAGGGGACAGCTTGAGGCTCTGTCTCAAAAAATAAATAAATAAAATAAAATAAAAAATAAAAATGTCAACCTAAGTCTGGCATGGTGGCACACCTGTAATACTAGCACTCTGGGAGGCTGAGGCAGGTGGATTCCTTGATCACGAGTTTTGAGACCAGCCTGAGCAAAAGCAAGACCTCATCTCTACTAAAAATAGAAAAAATAAGGCAAGAGGATCACTTGAGCCCAAGAGTTGGAGGTTGCTGTAAGCTATGATGCCTTAACACTCTATCTAGGATGATAGCTTGAGGCTCTGACTCAAAAAAAAAAAAAAAAAAAATAGGGTGGTGCCTGTGGCTGAGTGAGTTGGGTGCTGGCCCCACATATCGAAGGTGGCTGGTTCAACCTCCAGCTTTGTTGCCCCGTTTGGCCCCGGCCAAACTACAACAAAAAATAGCCAGGCATCGTGGCAGGTGCCTGTAGTCCCAGCTACTCCCAAGGCTGAAGCGAGAGAGTGGCCTAAGCCCAGGAGTTGGAGGTTGATGTGAACTGTGACACCACAGCACTCTACTGAGGGCAACAAAGACTCTGTCTCAAAAAAAAAAAAGTTGGGCAGCGCCTGTGGCTCAAAGGCATAGGGCGCCAGCCCCATATGCAGGAGGTGGTGGGTTCAAACCCAACTCTGGGGAAAAACTGCAAAAAAAAAGGGTCAACTTAAGGCCAACCGTGGTGGTTTGTGCTTGTAATCACAGCACTCTGGGAGGCTGAGGTGGGTAGATTGCTTGAGCTCAGAATTAGAGACCAGCCTGAGCACGAGTGAAATGCCATCTCTACTAAAAATAGAAAAACTAGCTGGGCACTGTGTGGGTGCCTCCCAGCTACTCAGGAGGCTGAGACAAGAGGATCACTTACTTGAGCCCAAGAGTTTGAGGTTGCTGTGAGCTATGATGCCATAGCACTCTACTAAGGGCAACAAAGGGAGACTCTGCCTCAGGAAAAAAATGTCAACTTTGTCTATATTCTTCAACTTTTTTTAGCCAGCCTAACTAAAACACTATGATTTACATTAACCAGCTAAATAACTATTTTTATAAGACAATTTCTAAAAGCATTGAAAAGACTTATATACCAACATGTACGGACATGTGGAACCCATACTCTAGATATTTCATTAGGGCTTTTAAATATCTATATTGGCATTTATATATGGGACAATGGTTATTATTATAAAGAAAACATAGCTGTGTTTATCATGCCAGGTCTTTAACTTTATTCAAGATTTTGACAAAATGATCCCCAAAGCAATATAAATGTAGACACTTTTAAAAAGTCCAGATGTGAAATTTCAAGAAAATTTTGAATGCAGTCTGAAGTCAATATTAAGTCAAAAGTTGAACCAATTCTACAAATCATAAATACTATTTTCCTTCTTAAGTTCATTATATTTTCTGAGTCATGTTACCATCTTAGCTTTTAATCATTGATACCAGTATTTGGAATCATTTATAAACATGGTTTAAGATCTTTAAGTTCTAAGTTTGTACTAATCCTGAATATTATTATAATTTAAATATAAATCCAAAAGTGAGAATTCTTCTTTAGAGAAGAATTCCAATTAACAAATGTAGAAGGAATGAGAGAAATAGAAAATCACCATTAGAACACCACAGTAGTCATGGCCACAAGCAAGATCTGCCAATGGATAATAAAATGGCTGGGCAAAACTTCAAGCAGAAACAGGACATTTGCATAGTCTCAAAGTATCTCCAGCAAATATTTAGTAATTACAGGAAAAACACAGTAAGTTTACAGTAGAAAATCCTAGCAGATACCACGCTAGTATAGTAATCAGAGTTAACAACACCAGAAATACATGACATCAGGAATCCCATTTTGACGCACTGTCACAGACTGGAGGACACAGAGACATGACAACTAAGTGCAAGGTGGGATCCTGGACTGGATACTGGGATAGTAAAAGGACATTAGTGAAAAGACTCATAAAATCTCTACTGTTTAAATTCTCTACGACAGTTAATAGCATTGTATCAAGGTTAATTTCTTAATTTTGACAAATGTTCTATGGTTATGTAAGATGTTAACATAAGGGGAAGGTGGGTAGAGGAAACATAAGAACTCTGTACTATTTTTACAATTCTTCTGTAAATCTAAAATTACCTCAAAAACTTAAAAAACTGTTTAAAATCATATACACATACATGTATATAGTGTGTGTGTGTGTGTGTGTATATATATAAATCAAGACTTCATGGAAATTGGCATCTTGGGCACTCAGTAAAACAGTAGTGTCCTCTTCAGAATTACTCATTGTCTCACTGGTAAATTAGCTTTGAAGTCCTCCCCCTTCCATATTTTTAATCTCAAGTATAATTTTTAACTTCATAGGAAAGCCTTTTTTAAACATTCCTACATTAGGACAAAAATTAAAATCCAAAAAAAAAAAATCACCATATTATCTTGCAAAATCACTCATCCCAACCATAAGATGCAGCCAATATTTTTACTACATTTCCTCTCATCTAATATGGTTTTGTTTTTGAAGAACGGAGATAGCTGACAGATTTAGTATCACTAATAGGCCTGGCAGTCTAGGAAAAAAATTACCACTTGGATATTTTGTGAAGAAACAGTTGTTTTTCTAAGAACAGATACTGTATACTAAAACTCACCTCAGATATAAAAAGTAAGTTATGTACCTAAGTCTCTTCTAAGTAAAACCCCTTCAATACCCCTTCCTTAAATTTGGCTCTAAAATGACTGTTAATAATGGTAAAAAAACAAAACAAAACATCTTTTTATGAAACAGGCAATTCTATTTATGCAATTTACTTTAGGGAAATAAAGATAAACATCAAATCTACATTTAAAAGAAGAAAATAATTAATTTCCTATTCTAACTATGGCTGATTCATTCCCTGAGCATGAATCCCCTTTTACCCTCATTTATCTATAAACTGAGCTGAACCTGCTCATAGGGATCTTGACAATGAAACTAATCTTAGACGGAAGAATGGTATTACTAAGTAATTGTATTTATTACTTTTGCAGCCATTATTTCTACTTACTGTGGCACTTACTGTTCCATTTGTATCACAATGCTCTCTACAGAAGCAGCAACAGTGAAAAGATAATTATATGTTGTTAAAACCAAAAAAAGGGTAATTTTAAAGTGGATCTTTATCTCAAAACAATATAAAAGCAAAAAAAGAAAAATGTCCACAAACATTTTCATACTATGTCAATGCCATTTCCAAATTCACCTTTCACTACCACATGAGAAGCAAGTGTAAAAACACTAACAATCTATACAACATGGGAAACAAACAATTTACCTTGGGAAATCACTACACATTGCAATATATTCAAGAGGTGAAAAGATATCAGTTCATTCAGAATAGCCATACTATCTGGCTGTCAATATAGTCTCTCAAATAATTATATTAAACATATTATTACTACAAAATGTACCAAGAAGTAGAGGATACTCTATTTGTGAACTGTAAATAACAAAAAGGAAACAGAGGTCCAAGAAGGCTGAAGTCTAAGCTGTAATTTACATATGAAGTATATGCTGAAAGCAGTCACAATATACAAAAATGTGACAAGTAATCCAGATGTTTAAAAAAAACAGATTCTGTTTTTCTCAGATTATATCCAGTCTCATCTGGCAGATTTTTGATAAGCCTGTTTCTCATAAGCCTGTATTTCCCTCCTGCTGTTGACAAGCAGCTTACAGATATCTGTAAGCTTCTTAAGGAGTGAGTCTACTTGGCAGTATCTTAACTCCATAGTTCCCTACTACATTCATTCGTCTGAAAACTGAAAGCAACTTTTAACTAAAACATTCTTCCGTTCCTTTGCCAGTCTTTTCAAATTTTAAATCAAAGGGAAGTTGGAATGTATTGCTTCTTCTCACCAACAGGCATTTAGAAAAGAGGGTAATTAACCAAAATCAAGAGTTCTTTGGTCAAGTTAGTAACAGGCTTCCATTTTGTTCTAAATCCTTTCATAATCCTTTTTTTTCCAATTTTTCCAGTATGGCCTGGATCTTACAAACAGCCTCTTTCCGGGCCTGCCGGACCGAGTCCTGGCCCCCAGTTTCAACTGAATCCAGTTCCAAAAGTTCCTTGGTTAGCATTTCTTCCAGAAGCCAGTAAGCTTTGTCTGTCTTTTTTCCTACAAACTCTTCTACTTCTTGTTCCAGGTACTGGACCTTCTCCAGCACATGTATGATTTTTTTAATACTTGGGGGAGTACCTTCATCTGAAGATAAACCCTCTTCAGGAAGATTGTTACTTTGATCTTGATTGCTGGGATGTTCATTGTTGGCGTTACCATACAGCTGAGGCTCAGCACTATATTGGACTTGGGAATCCAAAAGATCTGAATTATCATTGTTCATTGTCCCCGAAGATTCATACTGATGGACACTGCAAGGAAAGTTGTGCCGGTTCATGCCTTGATCTGATTGGCTATAGGGGTATGTGGAATCCTTGGAGTGAGAGAGCAAAAAGGGGAAAAAAACTTTCTTAATAGAAATCCATTAACATCAGATTAGCCCACAACTTTCACGTGACCAGGAAGGTACATGAAAAGATTCCCCACCAGTAAAAAACCAGACCTCCCTCCTAAAAACACCGTCCTAAGAAGATGGTGGAATAAAAGGCAGAGAATTCCTGAGTTATAAAGACTGGAACCTACCCTAAGGCAGGTCGTCATCACGAGCACCTCACAATCTATCCTCACCACCTCACAATCCATCCAGTGACTTAATCAATAAGAATTAGATAGTTTTTCCCCTCAAGGGTTAAAACCAAAAAAAAAAAAAACCTTGAAAAGGAATACAGCCATAAGCAAACGATTTTCAAGCCTATCGTTTTATATACAAGCTAATACGGCAGATATTTCACTTTGGTTTTGCCTTCTGTCTACAGGGTGAGGTAGGAAAACACAACCTTATATTTAACATTCAGGTAAAATTACAACAAACAGAAAATGTGTATTTTTCTGTCTCTTAAAAAAAGGAGAGGAACCTAAACCTTCTCTAAAAAAATAAAGTCTACTTAAAAAAAGAAAGAAACTGGGCTGAGGTAAAAGTAATAGGTAGTTGTCACCAATCTGCATTTAACAGAGACCAATGCAAAAGACTCCCACGTTGTACCCTCCTAAGTCCCCAAACATCAGAGGGACAACATTTAGAACAGTGGTTCTCAACCTGTGGGTCATGACCTCTTTGTAACAATGAAAACACATCGCGGCATTAGGAAGGCTGAGAACCACTGATTTAGAAGTTGTACCTTGGGCTGCTGGAGAGGTGGTGAAGAAGGTGTCTGAGGAGAGCCACTGCTGGGCCATGGTGAAGTATTTTCCGTCATGTACAGATTCCCAGGTGGCGCTGAGGGCGCAGATGAAGGCCAGGGGTAACGGGCACCCACTCCGTAAACTCCAGGAGACCCCCACACATCCTCTTGTGGTCGAACAGTTGGTCCTGACTGTGAAACACTATGATTACCATCCCCGTAAGCATAATGGGGCAGGGTCATTCCAGGGTTCTAGATTGAGAGGAAGAAATATGTTGGTCATTGCTAAAAAACAAAAACAAAACAACTTAAATGAAAATATTCTGATGTAGCCAGATTCCGAGATGCTTCCTTTCTGCTTAACATTGTATACTTAGCTGCTACTAGGCAAAATTATAGTAATGCCAATTAATTAATCAGTTGTATTAACTTCTCCAAGTCTAAAAAATCTTGATACCAAAGATACCAAGGGTAGATTTGATCATGATAAAACTAAGAAGGAGTAGGGCCAAAAATTCAGCACATGAAGCATAATGCAAGCATGTCCCATAGACTAAATAAATGTACCCATATGCCATAAGAAAACACAAAGATAGATATAATAAAACTACTCTTGAAGTGGCTAGAGAAATAACATGGTATCATTAGTAGAATATTTAAAAATATTAACCCAACAGCACTAAAAAGGCTAAGATAGGGAAACTTCCAAGCAACGACTTTCTAAAGACTTCTTTTAGTATAAAAGTTTATCATTGTGACATCTTTAAGAGACCTTCAGCCACAGTCCATTTAGCCATTACTGCAATAGCTGCTACAAATAAAAAGGGCATCAATTTAAAACCAGTACCCTTCCTGACCTAGAAATATTTTCTTCAACCAGCACTAGTGTAAATAGATACCCTTCTACTACAGTAACTGAAAAGGCAGAGACTTTTAATTTTTCCTAACAGAAAAAAGCCCACCTGTGAAGCATGGTATCCTGGAACTTGCCCCCGAAGAGCTGGAGGTTCAGTCTGACAGTCCTGTTGGGGGTACATCCAACGAGGGGCTGGGGTCGGGCTGTTGCCAGGTGAATGGTAAGTGCTTGGAACTTCTGTGGAGTAATTGGTCTGAGTATATCCAGGATTATAATAAGCCCCAGAGTATGAGGCAGCATTTGCCCCAGGGCCAGCCGGGTATGTTGGACCATATGCTCCATTTGTATAAGAATTCAAAGTCTGAAAAAAAGGAAGGTTGGAAGAAAAAAAATGAATGGGTGGAAGAGCTGAACTGCCCTGACTTAATGCCCAAATTTGAAAACTTGGGAAGAAAAGAGATTAATAAATAATGAAAAACTCCAGCAATCTTTGACACATTCTTTCTCTCATCAAATACACCATATGCCTCTCTTTTTTTTTTTTTTTTTTTT